ACAACCAGTCACAACACGTAATAGTAACTGGCTACTAGAGAGGCCATTTCCCCACAAGGTTTAAGGAAAGACTGCAGTTTAATATGTGGGTCATCATATAGACATTACAAACAGTTCTGTTAACGATAACTCTGTAAGCTCTCACTGAGGTCATTTACCTGAGTAAGTCTTATCTCTGTTTTCATCAAGCTCAGTACTGGTGGTCGCCACTGTATCAGCTAAAGCTACAAGGAACATCTGCTCCAAACGGGTCAGGCCTGGTAGACTTGAGTGCATAAGATGACTCGAAAGTACCCTCGCGTGTTCTTGGCCAAAGTAAGCTGGTCCATACTGAGAAAGATTTATTACTTTCGACTTGTTTTCTCTCTTTTCTGGCTCTAAATCGATATCATCCGTTGTTATATCCTGGATTTGGAACAGCTCTGAATACTGATCCTCCGGTTGACTTTCGGTATGATCTTCAAAGCTCTGAGGTATTTTTGTACTTTCTTCTGAAATTCTGTACGTTGTGTCTTGATCGGCAGCAAGCAATGCATATAACGGTAGTGGAGGAATAGAATCTATCTCGGTATAATCTCGAGTGCCATCTTTCCCTATGGTAACTGTATCCTTTGCTGTACTGCCGCTCACACTAATGGTTCGAGAAAGATGTCGCTTAGTTCCTTCTCCAGCATCAGCATCTCTAACTATCGCAACTTCACCTGCAATACATTTTACTAAATGAGAGAGAATAGCTTTAGCCCTGCGAACTTTCCCTAAATCCATCAGTTCTAACAGCTGGGTTGGATGATACTGCGGGAGAGTAGGGGAGAGGACATGTGCAGCCTCGAATAAGCCACCGTCTTGAATTACAGTTGGTGAACAGAAAACATCATCAGAAATAGCTGTTCCTTCAACAATACTTTTCCTTGACAACGTATTAGATTTAAAGGCAGAATGATCTTGTATTGCTGTCTCCTCTGCTTCAGGACTATCAGCTTCAATGTCTCCAAATTTGACAGCATGCTTCCACTGTGCATATACGTGCATTTCACAGTCCATTCCTACCACTAATATCCCATCTCTTACCCAGGAGAGAGAAACAGGCAGGGAAGGTGTACCATCAACAGAAGACACCAAGTCTATAGATCTCAGAAGAACCCATCTTGACCTAACTCCCTGCTTGATACTACCACCTAGTGGTAAAGTAATGACAGCTACTCCATCCTTACTATTGACTTGATCAGTCACAATCCCTGAAAGCCGCCCGTACATGAAGATATTAGCACCAACCCCCACTGTGAGAATGTGGGAGCCATCCTCTTTTGACACCCAGTCCAAATGTACTAAATGTTTGATATTTGGAATAAGGTATCTGTCTTTGCTCAAAAGGGCATCTGATTTGCTGTACACAAAGAGGTTACTGTCGACACTAACCCTCGAATCAAGCACACTCCCAACTTTGACCAAATCATCAAGATGAATTGTTTGTTCTAAAGCCCATTCTGACCCTCCTGTAGATTCACATTCAAATATGCAAACATGCATGGAAAATTCTTTAGAAACAAAACCATTTTGGTGGACAGGCTGTTTGTAAGCCACTGCAAGGCGACCCGTGTATGAACAGCTAACAGCAACTGGTCTTCCCACAATGCTCACTGTACTGCTATTATCTTCCCCTTCATCATTCATCAAGGGCCATCTCCTCCAATGATAGATTTCCTTCTCGTCACTTTTACATTGTAGGCTGGTTTCCATACTACATTTCCAGAAGCGTACTTTATTGTCAGAACAAGTTGTAACCACTAAATAAGGTGCAAGGCACACTGGATAAATTGAAGAGGAACTTAGGTGACCTTAAAAAAGAAAAAGCAGATAGTCAGAATAATAGAACCACAAAATAACAGGCTAATAACCAAAATCTAGAATGTGATCACCCCAAAGTCACTATGAGCTTCTTCACAACTCTGCAGTGCACCCCTTAACTAGTGTCCTACACTAGTGAACTAAATGTCCACTGGCCAAGGCATCTGTAGAAGTCATGAATAAGCCCACTGGTTAAATCAAAACATG